GACAGGATTTTCATCACATTGGCAGGCTGGACTCAAACTCCTGACCGTCAGCGTGATCCACCCGCCTTGGCCTCCAAAGTTCTGGGAATTAACAAGGTGTGAGCCACTTGCAACCCAGCTCTTTTTTGTTTGTTTTTCTTTTTGTTCTTTTTTGAGACAAGCTCTCACTTCCTGTCACCCGGCTGGAGTGCAATGGTGGCCCATTATAGTGCACTGTAACCTTGAACTCTGGGACTTAAACAATCCTCCCACCTAAGCATCTATAGTAGGCTGGAACTACAGGCAGCTTACCACCACACCTTGGTTAAGTTAAAAAATGTTTATTTAGTTGTAGAAGATAAGAGTCCTCATTATATGCCCAAGCTTGGCAGTTTCACTTTAATAGATGACTTTCCTTTTTGGTGGGGGCAGTGGTATGTCCTTGGATTTTTTTTTTTTTGTCTCATTTTGATCTTGCGAACCCTGAAGATTTTTCCTCTTTTGCTTCTTTTTCTATGCACCCATCTCCTAAAGATGCTTTTCTCTTCTTCTTGCTTATCTTTTTATTTTTTTATAATACTTTATTATCTTCATCAAAAATGATGCCTTTCCCAAGACCTGCCTCCTGCTCCGTCTAGCTACTGTGCTCTGGTCTACCAGTAGTCCCTTTTTCAGTTTCTTCGTGAGTTAAGAGTTTATTTTATTTAATGGTGGTAAATTGTAGAATCCACCTTAGAACTCTCTTCCTTTCTATGCCCATATCCTTCCATTCTACAACACACATTTTTTCAAGATGCATCTTTTTTTTTTTTTTTTTGAGACGATACTGCTCCTGTCGCACCAGACTGGAGTGCAGTGGGCGGAAATACTCAGGCTCACTTGCAACAGCTCTCGCCTCCCGGTTCACGCATTCTCCTGCCTCAAGCCTCGTCCGAGTAGATGGGACTCAGGCGCCCGCCACCGGCCCTCCGCCCGGCTAAGTTTTTTTGTATTTTGTTAGTAGAGTCTGGGGGGTTTTCACCGTGGTTAGCCAACAAGAAGAAGAAGAAAAAGCATCTTTTTTTTTTTTTGTGGCAGAAAAAGAAGCAAAAGAGGAAACTTCAGGGTTCTTTTTTTTTTTTTGAGACCAAAAAAAAAAAAATCCAAGGACATACAATCTGTTTTTTTTTTTTGAAAGTCATCTATTAAAGAAACTGCCAGCCTTGGCATATAATGAGACTCTTATCTCTACAACTAAAACATTTTTTTAATTAACAAGGTGTTTTTTTTTTTTTCTGTAGTTCCAGCTACTCAAGAGGCTTAGGTGGGAGGATTTTTTTTTTTTTAGAGTTCAAGGTTACAGTGCACTATAATGGCACCATTGCACTCCAGCCTGGGTGACAGAGTGAGAGCTTGTCTCAAAAAAAGAAAAAAAGTTTTTTTTTTTTAAGAGGCTGGGTGCAGTGGCTCACACCTGTAATCCCAGATTTTTTTTTTTTCAAGGCGGGTGGATCACCTGAGGTCAGGAGTTTGAGTCCTTTTTTTTTTTTGTGATGAAATCCTGTCTCTACTAAAAATACAAAAATTAGTTTTTTTTTTTTGCACACGCTTGTAATCCCACTACTCGGGAGGCTGAGGCATTTTTTTTTTTTGAGCCCAGGAGGCAGAGGTTGCAGTGAGCCGAGATTGTGTTTTTTTTTTTTAGCCTGGATGACAAGAGCAAAACTCTGTCTCAAAAAAAATTTTTTTTTTTTAAAGAAAGAAGAAAGAAAAGAAAGGAAGGAAGGAGGGAGTTTTTTTTTTTTACAAACTGCATCTCACCAGAAAAAAAAAAAAAAGAGAGATTTTTTTTTTTTACAGTAGCTCATGCCTGTAATTCCAGCACTTTGGGAGGCTTTTTTTTTTTTATAACTTGAGGTCATGAGTTCGAGACTACCCTGACCAACATGGTGAAACCCTGTCTCTACTAAAAATACAACAAAATTAGCTGGGCAAGGTGGGGCATGCCTGTAGTCCCAGCTACTCAGGAGGCTGAGGCAGGAGACTCGTTTTTTTTTTTTAAGTAGAGACTGTAGTGAGCAGAGATCATGCCACTACACTTTTTTTTTTTTAATGAAGCGAGACTCCATCTCAAAAAAAAGAGAGAGAGTTTTTTTTTTTTTGATGGCTCACACCTGAATCCCAGAATTCTGGGAGCCAAGTTTTTTTTTTTTCTTGAGGCTAGTATTTCGAGACCAGCCTGGGCCACATGGTTTTTTTTTTTTTCTACTAAAAATACAAAAATTAGTTGGGCACGGTGGCACTTTTTTTTTTTTTCAGCTACTACTCTGGAGGCTGAGGCATGAGAATCACTTAAACTTGGGAGGTGGAGATTGCAATCATTGCTGAGATTGCACCACTGAACTTTTTTTTTTTTTACAAAGTGAGACCATGTATTAAAGAAAAAAAGAAGAAGATTTTTTTTTTTTACTCTTGAGTGAGGAATATTATAAACCACCCAAACCCATTTT